TCGTCGTTAAAACGGTCAAACAGATTCGCACCGAAACGAGAGCCACCCCCGCCATCGACGTTGCGTTGTGGTGATCAATGGAAAACAATTTGCTTAAACGATAGGATTATAAGCGCTTGAATTAATTCACAATTGGTCCCGTCATCGGCGGGCCGATATGGACGCGTCGTGAATATTTTATGAAAATTACAAACCCTCCGGGCGATCGTCCGGATCGACTATGATGCGATATAGTGCGATATATACCGCCCATATTATATAAGCAATATTACACACATGAAAAGGGCGAACTATCTCGCTCTTCCTCTGGCCCGCAAAAAGAGGGGGACGGAAGAAAAGAAGGAAGAGACAGACAGAGGGCCTATTTCTCACTTTCGACATATACAAGCGCTTTCGCGTAAAAGCCACCCCCGCCCGTATGCAGAGGATCCACCTCCAATATCTGCAAATAGCTGCCAGATGAGGGGAGCGGGGCGGGGGGGGATAGTCTTTCCCCCAATCTAGTATACAATACGTGACACACATATTGACGAATCGGTCACCGCCTCTCGCTACGCGGCGACACACACGAAACGTTTCGTACGGGTGTTTATCGACAGGTACTGGCGTCGGCTTGACTAACGGGCGGCCGGTAGTGGTCCGGGGAACGCTCGGAGCTGCGGATGGTCCGTTGCACCCCTCGCAAACGGACTATTTTAGCGACCGATGATTTTCAATCACGATAATGCATCAAAGGTACGCAAGAGCGCAAGTGCGAGCGAGTCCGTCGCATTCGCGAACGGCTGCATTGTAGTGTTCTCTCTCTCTCTCTCTCTCTCTCTCTCTCTCTCTCTCTCTCTCTCCCTGGTCTCTCCTGTGTAATTTACTTCCGGAGCAGTGGCTCGTCGAAAATATGCGCTGTCGTCGTCGCTAATAACTCTTCTCGCCGGCCGATCGGGGAGGGCAGGAGGGCAGCCGCCGCGTCGCGTCATTATTGCGCCGCGTTAACGTTACACAGCCGCCATTGTAACGCGATGGTACACGTGGCTTTGGCGCTTCCGGAGTGGAGATGTAAATCCGATCGGCTGCCGTCGCGCGCGAGCGGGACCGGACGCGGTGTTAATTGCGCGTTACGCCGGCCGACTGTTCGATTAATTGGACTCGATCGGGACTAGTTCTGTCGACTCTCTCTCTAGCGCCTGTTTCCTTCCTTCTTCTTTCTTTCCATCGTGCGCTCGATGTGTAACGAATGTAAAAATTGTTAACGCGACGGTGACGCTTTTTGTCTTTGGCAGGGAATCTAATGTCCCCGATATATTCGATTTCAAACACTCGTGTTGCGACGATTGTTAACCCTTTGAGGCACGTATTTCTCAGAAAATCCGAGTCACATGCAAATTTATATACGGCGGTTTCTGGGATCGCTGATTACGAATCCGTTATCAGATTTTCAAAATTCAAGACGGCGGCCACAAATATGAAAAATTAACTAATCGGGAGACAATGTCAGGTAAATATATTGGAATTCCATGATCCGCCAACTTGAGAATCTGCCATCTTGGAAAATGAATTTTAGAATGTGGACCTCGGATTCGTAATCAGCGACCTCAAAAACTAACCAGGGTACAATTTTAGCTAATTTAATAAGAATCCTATGATCCGCCATTTTGGAAAATTAATTTTGGAATTTGGATCTCAGATTCGTAATCAGCGACCCAGAAAACCCCCAAATCTTGATTCTGAGCAAAAAATTCACTCATAGTTCGTGGAAAGTGATTCTTTTCTATAAAAATCAGTCAGTTTTTCACACTTTGTTTATTTATAATAAATGGACAACTTATGCAAAACACTTTTCAACCTTTCATGTATATCCCATGCACCTTCCATATCATATAAGAAGCTAAAAAACGCGAGAAACCCGACAAGAATCCTTCAAATATGAAATATTTCACGGAAAATGGAGAATAAATAGGCTGATAAGTATACTTACGCTTACACCACTATGCCTCAAAGGGTTAAAGACGTGTAAGACGCTGCCGGCAAATGGTAAGTGGCAAATTGCCGATTGCCTTCTCAAGAGAAATATCACGCTTGCGCGCGTTGTTTCGGTGTCACGATCAGCGCGAGCGCTTCGCTTCGCGAATCCCTTCGAAAAAGCCGGAAACTGAAAGCGACGACTTTATACGCCGCGTGCGTAATCCCGTCTTTGCCATCATGCAAAGCAGTTTCCGGGGACAAAGTCTGAATAAATCTACATCACTTCTCCCCCGAGCGTCGTCACGCGACGCATCGAGCGAGGTAGAAGCGAGCGGAGCTATCGGGCCGACGTTGTTCTTGCGTGGTGCGTGAGCGACACCCCCGAGGAGAGCCGCGGGATTTATTATCCTACGGGGAAATCGCGGGGGGATTTCGATCCCGCGCGTCGAACGCGGAATTTCAGAGACACCGCGGTCTCCATAAAGATCTCCCTCGGTGGTACCCTGTAAACATGACAAAGCGCACCGTAGACGGAGTCATCGAAATTTCGTCGGAGAAAGTTTCACGCTTCGCGCCTTCGTCCAGCGACGGTCAACGGATAAGACCTTCATTCGCAACACCATAATTCTCGCGTCAGAGGGATTGTCATAAGTTTCCGACCGAGACGCGCCTCGCTCAGTCATTCGACTGAGCGGTCTGAGCGAAATGCGGTCGAAATGACGCGCTTCGTGGAGTTCCCTCGTCATTGCGCGCAAATTGAGCCGCGGACGACTCATCGAGAGAGAACTCGCCCGACTGAAAATTCAGCCGCTTCTTCATGCCGAGTCTTGAAGGAGCACTTGTTCTTCAGGAACTTATTTAATATTCGGTTATCTCAATACTCTATTTGCTATTATTTCTAATCTTTGCTCTTCATTTTAATATGCATTGTGTAACAAAAAGTATGGAACTACGCTAAAACAATGGACCACGGAGATCGCGAGATCATAACAATCAATGCTTTCAAAATATCCCGGATTCCTTCAAAGTGATCAAATTATATTAAATTATCAAATTATCCGGACGGCTGCACGCATGGTACACCTATCAAAGGCGCGCATCGTTCGGTAATTATCGTCAATTAACGTGTAATCATTAGCTATCGCTGCGTTTCCGATTGACTCGTTCGATCGACTTTTTCCTGTGGGACCATTGAGCTCCTGGGCGCGAACAGAATCCCGGGACGTAATACAGGACATATGTTGCAGAAGCAATTGGCGACGGGGCTTACGCAAGTCTTCCCTTCGCTTCTTTCGAATCTTAAAACTTCTCCTGAAATTTCTGACACCGTAACGAAAACAATAGCAAAGAAATCACGAGGGACAAAAGTTTGTTGTCTTATTTATCCGCTTTAATTAATCCATCAAACCGTGCTAGATTATTCAACATATGCCTTCTCGCGTATAGTCGATTTTAAGCAAGTTACACAATTAACATATTGTTTGTTGAAATTAAGAACAAAGAAATTAAATGCATCGAATAATTGAGAACTTGTAAATAAATTTTTCTTTGAGAGAGAGAGAGAGAGAGAGAGAGAGAGAGAGAGAGAGAGAGAGAGAGAGAGAGAGAGAGAGAGAGAGAGAGAGAGAGAGAGAGAGAGCATTAACAGAACGGCGGTGAGTAACTACTTCTGTTGTCAAATTACAACAGCCCGCATATTGATGTATTTCGAATTTCTGCGCTGGTATTTCAAGCTCGATGAAATATGTACGGTTAATGTGGAGCCAAGTCGCATTTAGTTATTTATTAAATCGCGCTGAGGGAGGGAACGTGAGGTTACGCCGCGAGCGTCACCGTTACCAAAATTTTCAATCCAACAGCAAGAACGAAGAATGAACGGAAACGTCATGCTTGAGTTACGACAGTATACGTACGATTTATTTCACTCGCTATAAATAACCACGTTCCCGCGCGACTGACCATTCGGAATGATAAGAACGAAATCGCACAAGCGACGAGCTTTGTAATTTGGCCGCGGCTATTCCGAACTTTTAATTAACTCCGAGTTATATCTCGACTGACATCCTCGTTACACCTCGTTATGCTCGAAAGATCCATCGCGAGTTGGACTCTGCCCTGCTGACTCTAATGCCGTTTGAGATTTATGCCACAATGCCCTCGCTTGTCGAACGTGGCTGACGACGCTCTGAGAAACGCTCGTCTTCCAAAATCCAGCGCGAATCAATCACTGATCGAGCCGCGAGACCAACCGGAGGGTCGCTCTCGTTCGCGATATATCGAATTCGCTGCCGTCGTTATTTTCCGGCGTATATACGAATATAGAGAATTCCGGCGGATTCCGGAAATTCAAGGTACTCCAATTAGGAAAATCGATATCGAATTACACGCTTGATTCGACCTTGCCATAACTGCCGATAGGCTCATTTACTCCGCTCGTGAGCTCACGCGAAAATATATTCCACGTGTGTGTGTGTGTGTGTGTGTGTGTGTGATACATTACTCGCGCGTTCACAGCTACAAAATGCGCGCGGCGGTGACGAAATTCGTTATCGACTCCGAATTACGAGACACGTATTTACACGTACTAATACATAATAACGCGGAAATTATAATGAGCGCCATTGATTTACGCGGCCGATGGTCAATAGTTCAACGTAGAACGTATAGAATGGCAAATTAATACACGTCAGCGCAGCCTCGAATATAATAAATTACCTCACCGTTTCGGAACCGAGAGAGATATTCGCGGGCTGCGGAACTTCCTCATCGAAGGAAATAATAAAGTTTCGGTACTTGTCTTCCCATCCCGACAACCTCGTTTAGTCCCGCGCGCGGCGAGCTCGCTCGGCGCCCTCAAATTGAAAAGTTCGGCGCGCCGCTTTTCCGCGCGCCGGCTGCCAACTGCGCTCCCTCCCTCTCTCTCTCCCTCTCTCTCTCTCTCTCACACTCTCTCTCACTCTCTCTCTCTCTCTCTCTCTCTCGCTTCGCAAACTCGCGAGTGAGCGAGCGAGCGAGCGAGAACAAGTTACGGAATGAAAACTCACGTTGACTGCTGCTGCGTCGTATGATGTTCTCCAGGAACGTGTTTTGGGGGGCTACCAGGCCCCTGCGCCCCCCTGGCATCCTTTCTCGCTTGAATGGTCCCGGATCCTGGTCGCTGCGGTGGCTATCAGGACCTCGGCTAGCCTGCGGCTAGGACGATCTCGAGCCGGCCGCGATGCATCGCGAGGATCCTGCGCGCGCGCGCGCGCGCGTATCGCGCTCTTACACCGGCGACTCACCAGCAGGTATCTCGCGGGTTTACGCGCGGGGTTACAAGAAGAACGGCACACCTCGCGCACTCGGAGTCGCCCGCGACGTCGCTCGGCCGCGACTCGCCGTCGCGACTCATTAGATCGGCACGTGAACGCGAACGCGTTCGCGGCGAAGCCGCGCGACAGCCGCGCGGGCCGCGTCGGCACGGTTTCGATGCGGTTTTCCGCGCGCGGCCGGCTGTACAACGAGCGGCTCTGCCCGAAGAGAGAAAGAAGAGAGAGAGAGAGAGAGAGGAGAGAGAGAGAGAGAGAGAGAGAGAGAGAGAGAGAGAGAGAGAGAGAGAGAGAGAGAGAGAGAGAGAAACGAGCGCCGCGGGTGTCGCCGGGTGGCAATCCCGAGCGGCGGTCCTGCGGTGTGAAAAAACGATATATCGCGACGCTCTCGTGCAATTGGGAGGAAATCCGTTCGCTCTCGGTCCCTCTCGCGATCACACGCTCCCCCGGTGGCTCGCCCCCCCCGACCAGGGCGCTCTTCTACACGTTACTTATGGCACTTTGGGTAAAACGCCGCTCGGCGTCTCGTCGCATCCGGGATTACCGCGACGCTCCGAGCGCTGTCGACGATCCCCGGACAGGCCGGGGCTTCCGGTGGGCGAAGTAACGAAAAGCGAGACGAGTCGCCGGTCTCTCGAGAGATTTCCCTCGTCGTGGAGCTCCGTGCCGTGGTTTATCGCCGCCTTCGGACCCCATTGAAGCCCGGGCCGGCCTGCTGTTCGGGCTTCCGTCGCGAGGAGCTCGATTCTTCGTGAACAATGCTGACGGATGGTTGCTGGATCGGCGACTTCTTTCGTCATCTGCACGACGTCCTCCTTCCGGACGTCATCGCGGCAGCGCGGAATAAGGAAGCGACGCAACTCGCCGGTTCTCCCGACGAGGAGGAGCGGAGATGGATCTCCCCGCGAAGAGTCGGCTGCGAAGACGGATTCGAAGCCGGCGGTTTGTTCTCCGCCGGCTCAGCTGGGAGAGTCAACACGGTCCGGTGCGCGCTCGAGCGATCGGCTCCGGTGCAATTAATCGCAATTAATCGCGCGCTTGATAGCCGGCGAAAGGCGATCGGCCGACGTTTCTCGAGATTGACAACGAGCGCCGCCGCGAGCCGGTCTGTCCCGTCTATCCCGGTCCTGCCCGGTCGGATCGATTTGACGAATCGGATTGACGGCTCACCCAGGAGGCCGGCGGCGACGTCCGACGGGATTAGTTCGTTTATCGACTCTGAGGACCACTCGACGCCGCCGGTCGGCGTATTGGCTGTTGCTGGTACACCTGTCCCTTCTTCCTCGAGAAGCCTCGCCTCGAGTCTGCCACCGCGCGTCCTTGATCCGACGGTCTCGCCTATCGGCGACTCGGCCGGCTGTTTCCTGTGAAAGACGACGACGACGACTCTCGTCGACCACGGTGATCTCTCGATCGGCCCAGCCGGTATCGGCCGCAGGCGGCCACCGATAGCCGTGCCGCCGTCGAGGAGGAGGAGGAGGAGGAGGAGGAGGAGGAGGAGGAAGAGGAGGAGGAGGACGATCGATCCACCTGGCAGTCGTATCTCGTGGAGGACGATTACGAAGCGCCTGTTTCGCGACGAGGACGCGCCGATCCTCTTCTTCTTACCCGCGCGCCCAAGGCGTCGACGGGCGTCCCTCGGTGCTCCCGGAAGTGTCCTCGGATGATAGCGGAGGCGGTACGACCGATGACCCATCTAACCGCAGTCCTTCCAAGTGATCGTTCTCGCGGCGACGGTGAACCGACGACAGGTAACGTGACGACTGCGCCGTTCCTGCGACGTCGTTCTCCACATCCTCGGCGTCCTCCTCGGCGTCCGTGCAGGCGGTATCCGCGGAGGAGGACATCCCTCGGGAGAGATGAGCCGGAGATGGGACGTCGGCTGCCGACAGTCACATGGTCATCTCGCCGTACTTTGTCTCCTGAATGTGAGCCACCGACAGTACTTCCTTCTTCTTCTCCTCCTCCTCCTCTTCCTCCTCCTCCTCCTCCTCGACGCCGACTCGATCACGTGGAGATCCCTCCGCGAGTCTCGGCGTTTTCCAGCGCGACGCGCTTCCGGTAGCCCGTTCGCGGTGATCTTCCCTTGATGGCCGATGACCGACCGGTGACGATCGAAGGCTGACGACCAGGACGATGACGACGACGACGACGACGAGGACGACAATGGCGAGGGCGAGTCGCTGCGAACAGGAAAGTATTTGCCCCGTCACAAGTGTGAGCGAAGACGGAGGGTAGATTCGGTGGGCAAGTTTGCGAAATTAGATTTCTTAACGCGATCTTAACTTCGGAAAATGCTGTCTCCAGCTGCGCGGAGACGCGTTTCGTCCTCGGCGTTAGGTAGATCTTCAGGGAGTAGGGGAGGGGGCAGGGGGATTACGCATTACGGGTACGTTCATTTCGTCTGTGACATTCGACTTTCCGATAGCCGGAGTCGGAGCCGGAGCGTTTTACCCCCGGAAGGAACTTGATTCGGAAATCAGCCGGGCGTAGTTCGCGGCTGTTCCGGATAATGTGACGGAAGCGTCTCTCACCCCCCACCCGCCGCGCCGCGGCGAGGGTGTAGCGTCGCGTGGCTGAACTTTTAATGTCATTCGGAAACTTCCTGATTTAGTGGCTTCGCGAGTGTGCACTCGCGTACACACTGGAGGACACACTGGCCGGCGCGGCGCGGCGGATCGGTTAGCCCGTGCCAAAAATAGCCCGGCCGCGATACCCGGCCTAGGATTGGTTATAAATTCGGAAATTGGATGTTTACAAACACATGTATATTGTCCTGCGGGACCGATGAACTCGGCACCTCGCCGGCATTACTAGCCGGGCGTGGTCGCGGCGCGGCGTGTGTGCTGTGTATGTTTGTGTGTGTGTGTGTGTGTGTGTGTGTGTATCGTATCGTGGAGAGAATATATCCACTATATAATTTGACATGTCCGTTACATCGCGGCGTTCCTATATAGCTTTGTGTCTATGTAGCGTATGAATCGAGCGTCTCTCATTAGAGCACCACGTTATACGAGGTGTATCAGCCGGCGAGAAATGCAAATATTTTGCCAACGGCTCTTGGGGCTAATCTCATACATAAGAGCGAGAAACATATAATAGCCACATGATATTACATAACGTACGTATATTGTATGTATCAGAAATCTATATAGAATTCCAAATAGCAGCTCAATTCGTCGCACTTTCGATCTCTCGCTTCTAGTGAAAATGACACTCGTCAATTGTTTACATTCAATCTCCTTCTCTCTCTCTCTCTCTCTCTCTCTCTCTCTCTCTCTCTCTCTCTCTCTCTCTGTGTGTGTGTGTCTCTATCTCTCGTTCTCGACGATCGGATGATCGTGGTAGAGCCGAAGGGAAGTTTATTCGATTCACTTTGGAAGCCAGCGCGACCTTCTTGCCTGGCGTGAATTCGACGTGTACCCGAGAGCTATGTACACAGTATTAAGCAGTAGGCAAAGCTGACTGACCTCTAACTGCCTGAGAGAGATGTACATACCAAATTTAGAGAGATATAGTTCAACGTAGACACGGCATTCCGCGGTTAAGTCCGAAGCAACGAACGGAACCGCTCAATATAGAATCGCGATTTGATTGCGAGTGATTACGATGTTATTTTAACCCGCGCCGAAGAACGCGCGATAGACTTGCTCGTTCATAATCTTTCGAGTCCTAGATATTCCCCTTCTCTCTCTCTCTCTCTCTCTCTCTCTCTCTCTCTCTCTCTCTCTCCCTCTCCTTGGAACTACCTTGAAGTGAAACAACGTGTCGCCGAGAGGAGGCCACAACGGCGATGGGGAAAACTACCCCGTATCGACTTTCGACAAGAATTGCCCGCACGTGTAAATCGCGTAAATATAGCGCGCGCGAGTTGACGCGCCGTGATAAGATTCTCGGAAACTTCAACCGCGTCGAGGTATCATCGTGAACTACAGCCGCGATTATCGTTGTAGTACGACAAGGTTACGCCTCGATTACTTCCTCTTATGCATCGTATGCATCGGCTCGTCCATGTTTAATTTCGAATCGATCGGAACGCCCGGCTGGTACCTTACACCTACGTGTGCTACCTGAATTGCTTCGGTAATTTCTAGCCGCGACGTTTTACCTTTATGAGTGGCCGACGGTAGACTGTTGATGAGCCAAGTGATGACTCGCACACTCGTGAGATTGCGGTTATTATAGATCGATTTATCGTTCGGTAAATCCCGTGAACTCCTGACCCGCTGCATTTTGCGGAGATACGACAGAAATTTTCATCCTGTAAATCAGCTTTGTGTCTTCCTACGTATACGCGGCAAATGTCGCTCTATTTTCGCGCGCGCGCGCACACACACACACACACACACACCCTCGCAAACGCAACGTGTTTGCGAAGAGGAAACATATTTTCAGTGGGAAATCAAATAGAAAATAATATTCAACTTAATAATTCAAACATGACGCGTATACACTAGGAAAAAAATTTAGTATCTCTAACAAAACTGTTTAGTTGAGACATTTTTTAATAGCAACCAAATATCTTGTTTTATATAACAAAATATTTAGTTGTTTCAACTAAATGTATACGCTGACTGATTGTTTTGCTATAGACACAACAAATGCATACATCAAAAATAATCTTGCGTTGTACATATGTATGTGTGTGTGTGTGTATGTGTGTGTGTTAGAGAATGGCGGTTGTTTAAGAAAAAATCGATCTTTGTACCGATCCAAAATCGGATAACTAGTAATTGATTTACTAAAAAGACCGGCCTAAGAGAAAGAAAGATTTCTGAAAAATCGATCTAAAAAAATCACTCACAGTGAGAGCTCATTTAAACATGCTTGCTCTTATTTTATAAAGCCGACGATGCACTGTCTTTATTTTCGTACTGAATCTAATAAAATCTACTATCATCATTGGATCTCACTAGATCCAGCACGATAACACACATCGTGTATCGCCGGCTTTAAGAAAGCGAAAATGTAAAATTTTAATTACTTCTGCAGGACAGTTTTACTAGCTCATCCTACACACAGACAAAGCAACATCCTGCACACAGACATTGACCCCAGTGTGAATTCTTTGTTAAACGAAACATTGATAAGCATAGCAACGGTCCGAAAATTGTTTCTCTATTGGAAGAAACGATGTGTACAAGAATAAAAGAAAAAGAATTGATTAAAAAAAAATTTGGTTTTCGGAAGAAAAAGTCGATTTTCTGAAAATCAAATCGAAATCGTTCATCGCTAAACTACATGTATACACA